GGAGTCCCAGTAAATATAGAGTATTGTTAGTGTCACAGAAGCCAGAAGCTGGGAACCAGAACTCATTATATTAAATATTTTTGGGAGTAAAAATGTGTGAACAGAAGGGTATACTGTGTAACAAACTGTGGCACACTACAGTTTCCATGACAAGATTATTTTCATTCATTCTTTAAAAAAGAATTTTGTCTAATTTTCTTTATTTTGGAGTGAGGGGTGAAAGGGCAGAGGAAAGATACAAATGTCAGGGAGATAAATGGGACTGGGGTGCATGATGTGAAATTTAGAAAGAATCAATAAAAAGTAAGAAGAATGGATGGAAGTTTCTAACTATTTTGAGGTAGAGACAAAGTTTATTTTGTTATTCATCTGTAATTCTATCACAAATTATTATTGATTTCTATATTTGAAGTCACTGAGATTTTCATAGTATGTACCTAGTTCAATTATCACAAAAGTTTTGTAAGCTCTAGAAAAGGATTAGTTTGAAGATTTTAATACATTATTTTTATTGTTTATTAAAATTTATTCACTTTTTATCCAGGTTGTAGCTCCATCCCTCTTTTAGGCAGATTAACCCCTCCCTCCCCCTTCTCCCTTATGCTCCACCCCTAGTCCACTGATAGTGGAGGACCATCTCCCCTTCTATCTGACTCTAGACTATCAGGTCTTATCAGGACTAGCTGTATTGTCTTCCTCTGTGGCCTGGTAAGGCTGCACCCCCCACCCCCATCGCCAGGGGAAGGTGATCAAAGAACTGGCCCTTGAGTTCATGTCAGAGACAGCCCCTGTCCCCCTTACTAGGAAACCCATTTGAAGCTGAATAGCCTGCAGTCTTCCTTTGAGGAGGAGTTCTAGGTCCTCTCCATGCATGGTCCTTGTTTGGAGTATCAGTCTCTGCAGGCAGCCCTGGACTCAGGTATTTTTGGCTCTGTTGGTCTCCTTGTGGAGCTCCTGTCTATCTCCCTCTTCTTCAATAACATTCTCTGCACTCTGACCAAAGTTAAGCTATGAGTCTCAGAATCTCCTTTGATACCCTGATGGGTGGAGTCTTTCAGAGGCCCCCTGTGGAAAGTTCCTTTCCTGCCCCTTGTCTTTCCCTACCTCTGCTGTCTATCCTGTTTGCCCTTCTGAGTGAAGTTTCCGCCTCTTTCAAAAGGTCCTCCTTGTTTCCCTTCTTTAGGACTATAGATTTTAGTATGTTTATCCTATATTATATGGCTAATATCCACTTATTAGTGAGTATATACTATATGTTTTTCTACTTCTGGGTTACCTAACTCAGGGTGATTTTTCTCGATCCATCCATTTGCATGCAAATTTCATGATTTCTTTGTTTTTAATAGCTGAGTAGTATTCCATTGTGTAAATGTACTGCAATTTCTGTATCCATTCCTAAATTAAGGTACATCTAGGTTGTTTCCAGATTACTGGTATTATGAATAAAGCTGCTAAGAACATGGTTAATTATTAATATTTATTACAATTTATTCACTTTGTGTCCTTGTTGTAGCTCCTCCCTTATCTCTTCCTGGTCCCCTCCTGCTCCCTCCCCCCTTATTGTCCTTCTCTTAGGAGGTGTTCCTCCCCTACTATCTGACCCTATCCTATCAGGTCTCATCAGGGCTGTTTGGATCCTCTTTCTCTGTGGTCTAGTAAGGCCACTTCATCAGGGGTAGGTGATGAAAAAGGAGGCAACTGAGTTCATGCCAGAGACTGCACCTGTTCCCATTAATAGGGTATACCCATGGAGACTGACCTGCTATGAGTTACAGCTAAGCAGCATGTCTAAGTCCTCTCCATGTGTGGTCCTTGGTTGATTCATCCGGCTCTACAGACCCCTGGCCCAGATTTTTTGGCTCTGTTGATCTCCTTGTGGAGATCTTTTCCCTGAGAGGTCTTTCTCTCTCCCCATTCATCCATAAGATTGCCTGCACTTTGCCCAAAGTTTGGCTATGAGTCTCAGTGTATGTTTCACAAAGTACACTCTCAACAGAACAAAACAGCAGCCTACAGACTGGGAAAAGATCTTCACCAACCCTAATCTGACAGAGGGGTAATATCCAGACTATATAAATAACTCAAGTTATACACCAACAAACCAAGTAATCCCATTAAAAAATGGAGTACAATGTTAAAGGGAGAATTCTCAGCAGAGAAATATCGAACTGCGGAGAAACACTTAAAGAAATGCTCAACATCCTTAGTCATCAGGAAAATGCAAATCAAAACGACCCTAAGATCCCACCTCACAACCATCAGATTGGTTAAGAGAAAAAACTCTAGTGACAACACATGTTGGGGAGGTTGTGCAGAAAGGGGAACCCCCTCCATTGCTGGTGAGAATTCGAAATTGTACAACCACTTTGGAAATCAATCTGAGGCTTTCTCAGACATTTAGGAATAGTGCTACCTCAAGATTAAGGTGTTTCAATCCCACGCATATCCCTAAACATGCTTGACTGTTCAAAAAGAATATTTGCTCAGCTGTATTCATAACAGCTTTATTTTTAATAGCCAGAATCTGGAAATAACCTAGATGTCCTACAACCTAGGAATGGAAATTTTCTTAATTGCTGAAATTTGTGACAAGATATCTTGTTTGCTCATGTTTAACTATGCCACTCTTTACAACAGTTGAGATATAGAATCAAGTTAAATGGATAAATAGATAAACAAAACTTTGATTATATATAGAAATGTATAAGATATAAATTATAAATAAAAGAAATATTTTGTCATATAAAATAAACTTTATAATTTTTGGCACACTTGATAGAACTAGAAACATTATATTTTGTTTAAGATAAATACTACAAAACAAATACTAAATGTACTCTTTTATATGTGGAAGTTAAAATATGAGGTTCTTCTGAATGTAGGATAGTAACAACCAGATTTTAGAAAAGGAGGGAAGATATAAAGGATATATATATAAAGTTTTGTTAGATTTGATCAGTGCTTGCTGTATACATGTATTAAAATATCATCTTGACCCTCATGAATTTGTACAATTAACATGTCAATTAGAAGCAAAACATTAAAAATTCTAGTTAACCATATTGCTACAGAGGTAAGCTACGAGTCAGTCTAATTTACAGTCTCATTTTTCTTATGTAGGTAATTGTGATATATTTACTTTTCCTGGTCAGTTCTCCTCTTTCTTAATTTATCCTGAAATTCACAAATTACCTCATGATCTTTATAAGTAAGAAAATTACCATAATTTTAGAAATTAAGCTGTTAACTACTGGAAATGGTTGCTTTCATATGGTTTCAAATGGTTTACTTTCATATTCAACATTCTATTGTTTGTTCGAACACATCTTTACCTTCTATTCCCACATTATTTGTATTCCTTCCAACCTCATAAAATTTAATGCCTTGTAGACTTACCCTAATGTACTTTTACCCTGAGTGATTGCTTAAATTCTTGTTTCCGAATCCCTCAGAGACTCTCAGTACAAGAGATCCCAGTAAATTTTGAGAGAAACAGACATGAGTTCATGTCCCATCTCTACTGCTTTCATGAATCATTTCTTCAATTTTATTTGTGTGATAAGGAAAGCAATTCTCTACATATATATATATATATATATATATATATATATTTCATAAGGTCAAATGATATAAAATGATAATTACTAGTTTAATTTCATATTCATTCTTTAAGACCAAATTCTAATGTCACATCTTTTCTGACTGCTTAATTCTTCTCTGTGTCCTTGCTAACATAGGTAAACCTAGTCAATGATTGTCACATTTATTTTGTATTGCTAGTTTTACCTAGTTCCTATATTTTCAGTTAGAATGTGAATTTCTCCCGGACAGGGATAAAGCATTACTGCTCTTTGACAGCTTCATGAAGAGTTCAAGTAAATAATAATTTTCTGAAATACTGAACTCTAAAGTAATTTATTTTTTATACATACAATCTTTTTATTTTTTAATTGTTATTATTTATTACACTTTAATCATTTTGTATCAGGCTATGGCCCCCTCCCTCATTGCCTCTCAATCCCGCCCTCCCTGCTTCTTCTTCTCCTATGTCCCTCCTGTAGTCCACTGATAGGGGAGGATCTCCTCCCCTTTTGTCTGATCCTAGCCTATCAGGTATTATCAGGCTTTTTCTTCCTCTGTGGCCTGGCAAAGCTGCACCACCCTAGGAGAAGGTTATCAAAGAGCTGGCCCTTGAGTTCAAGTCGAAGACAGCCCAAGTACTCCTTACTAGGGAACCTACTTGGAAACTGAACAATCTATGGGCTTCCTCTGAGCTGAGGTTCTATGTCATGGTACTTGGTTGAAGTAATAGTCTTTGCAGGCTGCCCTGGGCCCAGGTATTTTGGCTCTGTTGGTCTACTTGTGGAGCTCCTGTCCCCTCCAGGTCTTTCTATCTCCCCCTTCTTCCATAAGGTCCCCTGAACTCTGCCCAAATTTAGGCTATAAGTCTCAGCATCTCCTTTGATACCTTGATGGGTGGAGTCTTTCAGAGACACCCTCCCCCCTGCCGGTGTAAAGCTCCTGTCCTGTTCTTTGTCTTCTCCTACTTCTGATGTCTATTCTGTTTGCCCTTCTGAGGGAGGTTTCTACCTCTTTTCTATGGTCCTCCTTGTTTAGCTTCTTTAGGACTATAGATATTAGTATGTTTATCCTATATTATATGGCTAATATTCACTTATAAGTGAATATACACCATTTGTGTCTTTCTGCTTCTGGGTTACCTCACTCAGGATGATCTTTTCTAGTCCCATCCATTTCCGTGCAAATTTCATGATTTCCTTGTTTCTAATAGCTGAGTAGTATTCCATTGTGAAAATGTACCACATTTTCAGTATCCGTTCTTCAGTTGAAGAACATCTAGTTTTTTCCAGATTCTGGCTTTTTAAGAATAAAACTGCTATGAGCATAGTTGAGCAAATGTCCTTGTTGTATGGTTTAGCATATTTCTGATATATGCAAGGGCACAGATAAAGCAGAACAAAACTTAATGAGTTAAATTGTTTTCTTTCTTTCTTTTTTTTTTTTTTTCTCATTAAACTTGTTTTAATGGGTCTCAAAATTCTGTGACAGATTTTTTGGTCAAGTTGTTTCCATTAAAAAGTACTGAATTTGAAAACTAATAACTTAAAACTGCCACACACACAAAAAATGGTCCACAAAACATTCTCCTTTCCTTCTGAAGGTTTTACGATGCATTGTTATCATTAACCAGTCTTTTACTATTAAACTTAAATGGCCAATTGAGACAAACAGTTCTGGGACCGTTCTTCCACCACTGATTAAGACTGGGGTGGCAGGTGTTAGGGGTAATATTCATTTAGCCTTCTGAGTTTTCTGGGCAGACTTGGTGACTTTGCCAGCTCCAGCAGCCTTCTTGTCCACAGCTATGATGACACCCACAGCAACTGTCTGCCTCATGTCACGAACAGCAAAGCGACCAAGTGGAAGATAGTCAGAGAAGCTCTCAACATACATGGGCTTGCCAGGGACCATATCAACAATGGCTGCATTGCCAAACTTCAAGAACTTAGGGCCATCTTCCAGCTTCTTGCCTGAACGACGATCAATCTTTTCTTTAAGCTCAGCAAACTTGCATGCTATGTGAGCAGTGTGACAATCCAGTACAGGAGCATAGCCAGCACTAATTTGGCCTGGATGGTTCAGGATAATCACCTGCGCAGTGAAGCCAGTGACTTCCATTGGTGGGTCATTTTTGCTGTCACCAGCAACGTTGCCATGTCTAACGTCTTTAACGGACACATTCTTTACATTGAAGCCCACATTGTCCCCAGGAAGAGCTTCACTCAGGGCTTCATGGTGCATTTCAACAGACTTGACTTCTGTTGTGACATTAACTGGAGCAAAGGTAACCACCATGCCAGGTTTGAGAACACCAGTCTCCACACGGCCCACAGGGACAGTACCAATACCACCAATTTTATTGACATCCTGGAGGGGCAGCCGCAGGGGTTTGTCAGTTGGACAAGTTGGTGGCAGGATACAATCCAAAGCTTCCAGCAGTGTGGTGCCATTGGCGCTGCCATCTTTGCGGGTGACTTTCCATCCCTTCAACCAAGGCATATTAGCACTTGGCTCCAACATGTTGTCACCGTTCCAACCAGAAATTGGCACAAATGCTACTGTGTCATGGTTGTAGCCAATTTTCTTAATGTAGGTGCTGACTTCCTTAACGATTTCCTCGTATCTCTTCTGGCTGTAAGGTGGCTCAGTGGAATCCATTTTGTTGACACCAACAATCAGCAGTTTCACACCCAGGGTGTAAGCCAGAAGGGCATGCTCATCTTTCATCCTGAACTGTAGCTCTGCTCTATGTCAAGCTAGCAGGCTATTCTGAAAGCCAACAATTGCTCCTCGGATTGATTATTATTCTTTTTTAATTTTATTTTTCTTTTTACTTACATTGTGTTAACTCTGTGTCCCAGCTGTATCCCGCTCCCTCATTCCCTCCCCAACCCCGCACTCCCTCCCTGGTCTCCTCCCTGCCCCTTTCCAAGTCTACCGATAGGGGAGGACCTCCTCCCCTTTCATTTGACCCTGTTTTATCAGGTACCTTCAGGGCTGGCTGCAAAGTCCTCCTCTGTAGCCTAACAGACTGCTCCTCCCCTGGGGGGGGTGTGTCAAACAGCCTGCCCTTGAGATCCTGTTAGAAATAGTCTGTGTTCCCCTTACTTTGGAAAACTACTTGGTTACTGAGCTACCACGGGCCACATCCGAGCCAAAGTTCTAGGTTATATCCATAGATGGTCCTTGGTTGAGTGTCAGTCTCAGAAAAGACCCTGTGCCCAGATATATTTGGTCCTTGTAGAGCTCCTATCCTTTCCATATCATACTAACTTCCCTTCTTTCATATGATTCCATGCATTCTGCCGAGGGTTTGGTTATGAGTCTTAGTGTCTGCTTTGAAACACTGCTAGGTAGAGTCTTTCAGATGCCTTTTGTGGTAGACTCCTGTCATACGTTCAATGCACATCACATTTGTCTTTCTCAATGAGGATTAATCACCTTCGCATGTGTCCACTTTCTTGATTATCTTCTTTTTTATTTTTAAGTCTTATCTGACGATTTTTTTTTTTAGTTACATTTTGTTAACTCTGTGTCTCAGCTGTATCCCGCTCCCTCATTCCCTCCCCAACCCCACACTCCCTCCCTTGTCTCCTTCCTGCCCCTTTCCAAGTCGCCTGATAGGGGAGGACCTCCTCCCCTTTCATCTGACCCTGTTTTATCAGGTATCTTCAGGGCTGGCTGCAAAGTCCTCCTCTGTGGCCTAACAGACTGCTCCTCCCCTGGGGGGGGTGTCAAACAGCCTGCCCTTGAGATCCTGTTAGAAATAGTCTGTGTTCCCCTTACTTTGGAAAACTACTTGGTTACTGAGCTACCACAGGCCACATCCGAGCAGAAGTTCTAGGTTATATCCATAGATGGTCCTTCGTTGAGTGTCAGTCTCAGAAAAGACCCTGTGCCCAGATATATTTGGTCCTTGTAGAGCTCCTATCCTTTCCATATCATACTAACTTCCCTTCTTTCATATGATTCCCTGCACTCTGCCGAGGGTTTGGTTATGAGTCTTAGTGTCTGCTTTGAAACACTGCTAGGTAGAGTCTTTCAGATGCCTTTTGTGGTAGACTCCTGTCATAAGTTCAATGCACATCCCATTTGTCTTTCTAAATGAGGATTAATCACCTTCGCCTGTGTCCACTTTCTTGATTATCTTCTTTAGGTGTGTAGATTTCATTATGTATATCATGTCTTGTAGGTCTATATAAGCGAGTATATACCAAGTTTGTCTTTCTCCTTCCGGGATACTTCACTCAGAATGATCTTTTCTAGATCCCACCACTTGCCTGCAAATTTCATGATTTCCTCCTTTTTGATTGCTGAGTAGTATTCCATTGTGTAAAAATACAATTTCTGTATCCATTCCTCCGTTGATGGACATCTGGGTTGTTTCCAACTTCTGGCTATTACAAATAAAGCTGCTACGAACATGGTTGAACAAATGTCCTTGTTGTGTACTTGAGAAAATTTTGGGTATATACCTAGGAGTGGTATAGCTGGGAATTGAGGTAGCACTACTCCTAGTTGTCTGAGAAAGCGCCAGATTGACTTCCAGAGTGGTTGAACCAGTTTACATTCCCACCAGCAATGGAGGAGGGTTCCCCTTTCTCCACAACCTCTCCAGCATGTGTTGTCCCTTGAGTTTTTCATTTTGGCCATTCTGATGGGTGTAAGGTGAAATCTCAGGGTCGTTTTGATTTGCATTTCCCTAATGGCTAATGAGGTTGAGCATTTCTTTAAGTGTTTCTCTGCCATTCGATGTTCCTCTTTCGAGAATTCTCTGTTTAGCTCTGTTCCCCATTTTTTAAGTGGATTACTTGGTTTGTTGCTTTTCTGCTTCTTTAGTTCTTTATATATACTTGATATTAGCCCTCTGTCAGATAAAGGGTTGGTGAAGATTCTTTCCCAATCTGTAGGCTGTCTATTTGTTTTGATGACAGTGTCTTTTGCTTTACAGAAGCTTTTCAGTTTCATGAGGTCCCATTTATTGATTTTTGCTCTTAAAGCCTGTGCTGTTGGTGTTCTGTTCAGGAAGTTGTCTCCTGTGCCAATGAGTTCTAGGCTGTTCCCCACTTTTTTTTCCAACTGAATTAGAGTATCTGGTTTTATGTTGAGGTCCTTGATCCACTTGGACTTTAGTTTTGTGCAGGGTGATAAATATGGATCTATTTTCATTTTTCTGCATGTAGACATCCAGTTGGTCCAGCACCATTTGTTGAAGATGCTGTCTTTTTTCCATTGAATGGATTTGGCTTCTTTGTCAAATATTGAGTATTCATAGGTGTGTGGGTTTATTTCTGGGTCTTCTATGCGGTTCCATTGATCCTCCTTTCTGTTTCTATGCCAATACCATGTAGTTTTTATTACTGTTGCCCTGTAGTACAGCTTGAGATCGGGAATGGAGATACCTCCAGATGATCTGTTGTTGTACAGGATCGTTTTGGAGATTCTGGGTTTTTTGTTTCTCCATATGAAGCTGAGAATCTTTTTTTCAAGGTCTGTAAAGAATTGAATTGGTATTTTGATGGGAATTGCATTGAATCTGTAGATTGCTTTTGGCAGGATGGCCATTTTCACAATGTTAATCCTACCAATCCATGAGCACGGGAGATCGTTCCATCTTCTGAGATCTTCTTCAATTTCTTTCTTCAAAGACTTGAAGTTTTTCTCAAACAGGTCTTTCACTTGCTTGGTTAGAGTCACACCAAGGTACTTTATGTTATTGGTGGCTATTGGTGAAGGATGTTATTTCCCTAATTTCCTTCTCAGCCTTTTTGTCTTTGGTATATAAGAGGGCTTCTGATTTTTTTGAGTTGATTTTGTATCCTGCCACTTTGCTGAAGGTGTTTATCAGCTGAAGAAGTTCTCTGGTTGAATCTTTGGGGTCGCTCATGTATACTATCATATCATCTGCAAATAGTGACACTTTGACTTCTTCCTTTCCGATTTGTATCCCCTTGATCTCCTTTAGTTGTCTTATTGCTCTGGCTAGGACTTCAAGTACAATGTTGAATAGATATGGAGAGAGTGGGCAGCCTTGTCTTGTCCCTGATTTCAGTGGGATTGATTTAAGTTTCTCTCCATTTAATTTGATGTTGGCTATAGGCTTGCTGTATATTGCCTTTACTATCTTTAGGTATGTGCCTTCTATCCCTGATCTCTCCAAGACTTTAAACATAAATGGGTGTTGGACTTTGTCAAATGCTTTTTCAGCATCTAAGGAGATGATCATGTGGTTTTTCTCCTTCATTTTGTTTATGTGGTGGATTAAATTGATGGATTTCCGTATGTTGAACCACCCTTGCATTCCTAGGATGCATCATGGTGGATGATATCTTTGATGTGTTCTTGGATTCGGTTTGCAAGTATTTTATTGAGTATTTTTGCATAAAAGTTCATAAGAGAGATAGGTCTGAAGTTCTCTTTTTTTGTTGGATCTTTGTGTGGTTTAGGTATCAAGGTGACTATGGCTTCATAGAATGAGTTTGGTAGTGTTCCTTCTATTTCTATTTTGTGGAATAGTTTGAGGAGAATTGGTGTTAGTACTTCTTTGAAGGTCTTGTAGAATTCTGCGCTGAAGCCATCTGGTCCAGGGCTTTTTTTGGAGGGGAGACTGTTAATGACTGCTTCAATTTCCTTGGGAGATATAGGGCTATTCAGTCTTTCTACCTGATCTTGACTTAATTTTGGTAGATGGAATCTATCAAGAAAGTTATCCATTTCATTTAGATTTTCAAATTTTGTGCCATATAGACTTTTGTAGTATGACCTAATAATCGTTTGGATTTCCTCAGTGTCTGTAGTTATGTCCCCATTTTACTTTCTGATTTTGCTGATTTGGATAGATTCTCTCTGCTTTTTAGTTAGTTTGGCTAAGGGTTTGTCTATCTTGTTGATTTTCTCAAAGAACCAGCTTTTTGTTTCATTGATTCTTTGAATAGTTTTATTTGTTTCTAATTGATTCATTTCTGCCCTTAGTTTGATTATTTCCAGCCGTCTGCTCCTCTTGGGTGTATCTGCTTCTTTTTTTTTCTAGGTTTTTCAGTTGGGCCATTAAGTTGTTTGTATGTGATGTTACGGATTTCTTCTTGTAGGCACTTAGCGCTATAAATTTTCCTCTGAGCACTGCTTTCAATGTGTCCCATAAATTTGGGTATGTTGTGCCTTCATTTTCACTGAATTCCAGAAAGTCTTTAATTTCTTTCTTTATTTCTTCCTTGACCCAGCTGTCATTGAGTAGTAAGTTGTCCAGTTTCCTTGTGCGTGTCCGCTTTTTGTTGTTTCTGTTGTTGTTGATGTCCAGCTTTAGTCCATGGTGGTCAGATAGTATACAAGGGATTATTTCAATCCTTTTGTATCTGTTGAGGCTTGCTTTGTGACCAACTATATGGTCTATTTTGGAGAAGGTTCCATGCGGTGCTGAAAAGAAGGTGTACTCTTTTGAGTTTGGGTGAAAAGATCTGTAGACTTCTATTAGGTCCATTTGATTTAGGGATTCTGTGAGTGCTTTTATTTCCCTATTTGGTGTCTGTCTGGTTGATCTGTCCCTTGATGAGAGTGGGGCGTTGAAGTCTCCCACTATTCAGGTATTAGGATCAATGTATGATTTAAGCTATATATTGTTTCATTTACGAATGTAGGTGCTCTTTTATTTGGGGCATAGATATTCAAAATTGTGATGTCCTCCTGTTGGATTTTTCCTTTGATGAGAATAGAGTGGCCCTCCTTATCTT